TAATACCTGGTTCACTGTTGACATAGAAAAGGATGAAAACAAAAGAGAATCTTGAATAGTGTGGAATACAGTGAGCATAAAACAACTCTGAGAAGTGTCAAGGGCTGAAAATGCAAGAAATGATCAGCAGAATCCACACTGTGATGTTTATCATCAGTCCACAAAGATGTCTTTATAGAACAAATAAGCAAACTAGGTTAGAGACCAAAAGGCTTGTGCTGCCCATATAAGTAAAATGAGCTGGCCTCAGACAATGGGAGGCAGACCATCTGTCTCCTTTTTCCTTTTTATTTTACCCAAGACATACAAGGAAATGTCGAATGATTCTATCTGTGGACTCTCTTCTCTTTGATGACCAGTATGTGCTAATTACCTAGTTTTATATATTCATAAAATACCACCCATTAACAATCTCCTTCTGTCATTCCAATAATGAAAACCGCTTGGTTGTCTTCTCCTTCTGCTGTGCTGCTCCTCACCACCACATGCATCCCCGACTTTCCTGGTCTATCCTTACTTTTCTACTTCTTCCTGCCCACAGTGATATCTGAGCACTTCCATGTAATAAGACCCTGCTCATCCCTCAAGATCCAGCACAAAAGCCACTTCACAGAGCCTTCTCTACTGCTCATCCCACCACAGTCCATGCTGGCATCCATCCTGTGCACTCTCCAAACTTGTGGAATCTGGGAATGCTGCATCACTTGTCATGCAAATTGAAAAAAATCTTAAGAATCAGAGGGGTGACTATCATTGATCCCCACTGGAACAACAGGTATAAATAGAGTCTGTCCTGGAATAACCAAAACTCACGGACATACAAAGTCTCAGCTACAAATGATGTCCCTTTACCCAAGTGGTTTGCGATATTATTTTACTGCTCAGTGCAAGAGTCTACTCTCTCTAGCTGGACTCTATTGGAAGAAGACTTGCCTAACTGCTATACCACTGCTCCACCTTCATCAAAGAAACTGTCTGATTCTGGAAAAGATTCTGCAGTGCTGATTTGTAAAAAGACCAAAAGGTTTATGACTATATGTGCTCTCAAGAAGATACTTCTAGAAGAAATCAGAAAGAGACAGAGATAAAACTTAAACTTTGAGATAACTGAGGCTTCAGACCAACCCAAAAGCAGCCAAAATGCTGAGACGGCCCTTCAGGGTTGTCCCAAATGGAAGCAAGGGCCAACTGCATCCCTGTATCAGTCATCAGACGCAGGCATCCCTCATGTAGGGAGCATGACTTGGCCAAAGCACCTTCTTCAAGTCCAACATGATTTCTAAAGAAAGACATGGTTCTGAGCACTCCAGGCAGCTGGAAAAATGAGTGACATGGAACTCATATTGATTTTTTTATTGATGCATAAAAATGTGTTTGTGTGAAAATTTAGATACTTAAAAAGCTCATACTTACTAGCTCACATTTCAGTGATTCAGAAGTCTTGCTAGGCTTGGTTGGGTTCTCTGCTTAGATTCACATGGCTGAAGGCCAAGTGTCATCTGGGCCACTTTCTTATCTGAAAGCTCCTGAAGATTTCTATGGAGCTCACTCAGGTTGTTGGCAGAACTCAAATTCTTGCAGTTAAATATTTGAGGTCCTTACACCCTTTCATTATCCAGGCACTGCTATCACCTCCTGAGGGCTGCCTTCAGTCCCAATCATCTGACCCCCTCCAGAAAACAGAACCCTTCCTTCCTCTGAGTACCCCACCTTTTTAATTTTTATTTCTCTGCCAATGATCTTTAGAACCAGATTTAAGGGCTCCTCCAATACACTAGACCCATCCAGCTAATCTCCATTTAACTAAGGTCCTTGCCCACAGAATTCAATTAAATCAACAAAATCTGCTCACATATTGAGACTGACATTTCAGTGTCTAACAGAACAGAGGGTGAGCACACCATAGACTCATTTAGCTCACCTTAAAACTCTGCTTACTGGAGACCTTAAGGTGTAATGCTCACGCACTGTTAAATACGCTAAAACAGATTACATCCTATCCTTGTCAATTGCCTGCTTATATCAGAAAATATCACAGACTGGTTAAATTATAAACAATAAAAGTGTATTTGGATCTTGGCTGAGAAGTCCAATACTGATAGACCACTATTGGTGAGGGTTGCTGCATCATAGCATATGGGAAAGGATGCCAGTTCACTTGAGATGAACAGAAGAAATTGGGCCCAATTCATCCTTCTCTTCAAGAACTGATGATAATCAAACCATTCCTGTGGTAATGGCGTGCATCCATGACCTAATCATCTCTTCGTACTGTTCCAATGGCACCACTTTCCAGGAAGCCCTTTCTTGCTCTTTCCTTACAGATACTTGTAGCCAGCCCAGTCTTCAATCTACTTATCCCTTTTCTTTGTGTCTTTCAAAAGCCTATGTCTTGAATTTAAAAGCTGATATCCTAGTCAGTTTAAGCTACTATAAAAATGTGTTATAAATTGCATAGCTTATAAACAAGGAAAAAATTGTCTTCTCACAATTCAGGAAGCCAGAAGTTTGAGACCAAAGTGCAGGATGGCTGGGTTCTAGTAAGGACACTCTTTCCAAATGACAGATTTCTAACTTCTTATTGTATCTTCAGGGCTGAGGATTTAGCTTAGTGGCACAAGTGCTTGTCTGGCAAGTGCAAGGTCATGAGTTCAATCCCCAGTACCAACAAAAAAAAGGGAAAAACATTGCATCTTCAAATAACAGAGAGCAAACTTTGGGGTCCCTTTCATAAGTGAACTAATCTTAAAGTCCTCATCTTCAATACCACCACACTGGGAGTTTGGTTATGTTTAGGATTTCACCATATGAATTTTGAAACACACATTCAGTCCATCACAGCTACTAAGGTTGCTTAAATATGCTTGAAAACAAGCACAGCAAATTCCCAAGGCCAGTCTTCTGTGTCAAAACTGAGCCATCAAGAGCTTTTAAGTAGGTTAGGCTGCATGCACAGCTACCATGGGTTGACTGAGAATGATAAATCCAGGGATCAAGAACATACGGGACGATGGAAGAGGTGATCCCAAAGCATCCGTAAGCCTTGGTCTTGCAGCTTCCCATATAGAAGGGATGACCTCACTTTGCCCAAAGCTCACAAGTTCATGATAAAGACAAGTGTTATTTTACAGTACACTAGAGCAGCTAGTGCCCTTATTAAACAGGAAATCAGACACTTGCATTGCGTAAGCAGTCTATCCATTAAAGCAAAAATAGGTTTTCTGAGAAAATGAAAATCATTAATTTATCTTGAAATTTTACTGGTGGAAAATACTGTTGTATTAGAATACAGATGGGAGATAAAAGATGCTAGAGCACTTCATTCTTCCCTTTATTAATGAAGTAGAATGCATAAAAGGCCCATTAAAATTACATAGAAGCCTCATAAGCATCTTTCATATCTTACTCAGTCACTTTCATGTCTTGAGAGCAACATTTCAGTGACAAGATATTGGCCACTCATACACGCACATACTCACAGGCTTGATTATTCATCCACTTATTTATTCATTCATTACTTAAACAGGTAGATACTGATTACTGAGGGTGGGCCAAGTATTGTCCTAGTTACTCGGGCTCTGATCATGGATAAATTAAGTTCCCTGCTTTGAAGTACTGACACTTAAATGGGGGAAATGAAGGAGAAATAGATAGGCAATTAAGAGCCAGAAGTTCTCTGGTCCTAGAAGTTTAGAAAGGGAACATTTAACTCAGATGTAGGGCAAGTAATCATGCAAAGCTTCTAGATTGAGACCTGAAGTAAAAGTAAGGCTTAAGTGGTGAAGAGAGAAAAGAGAAAGACAAAAGCAAAGAGAGCTTGAGAAAGCAAGGTGCTATACCCCTAGAAAGGATTACATCCATTGGCTTACAGAAAACTTAAGACCAGAGCAAAAGTGTTTACAGGGAACAGAAGGAGGGTGGAGGAGGAGGGAAAGATTCCAAGGAAACAATGGCAAGAAATGAGATTGGAAAAATTAGAGAAATTTCATGGCTAATCAGGGAGGTCTTCCTGGAAATGATGAATTTTGACCTGAGATTTGCAAATCGTGGTTATGCTAGACCCATGCTAGAGTATGGTGCAGGTAGCTGCAGATCCACTAAGGCACATTCATAGCAAGTTGCTTGTATTACTGAGTCCCACACTTCATTTATCCATCCATCCATCCATCCACCAAGTTTTAACTCACCTTCTAGTATATGACAGTACTCTGTTAGACCTAGCAGTGATCTAAGTGGAATCAGACATGAACATATGCCTTTGACTTACATTTAAACCCAAATTCAACCTTTGTGGTTTTTCAAAAGTTTTGAAAACTTCACCGCAATTGGAGGGAAGGAATGCTGATAGTAAGTGACAAGATTTGCAGGGGGCACTCAAAAAATTGATGGGTGATAATTCATCTCTCTGGTGACAGAAAATATCACCTTGAAAACAATGAAGTGGATGGGTTTGGAGGAGCACTCTTGAAATGCCAGGTACTTGGGAGGCTGAGAGGCAGCATCAGGTGGACTACAAGTCCTACATCAGTTTGGGCAACTTAGCAAGACTCTGTATCAAAATTTAAAAAGAAAGGAGGAACTGAGGCTGCAGCCAGTGACAGAACACTTACTTAGCATGTGCAAGACACAGATTTCCATTCCCAGGACTAGAAGTAGGAAGGGTAGTGGAGCAAGGAATGAAAGAGAGAAGAGAGGGGAAGAGGAAAAGCCATGTCATTCACACGCACACGCCAAAATTCTACAATAGTAGGTAAAAGGGATCAGAGTTCAGGGAGAGTTTTAGGAAAAGACAGTTCTCAACTCAACCTTAAAAGTCACTAGAAGAGTCCATGAGAGTCATGGAGGAATACAGGCATTAATTCATTCATTCAACAAATAAGTAAGACTTGTCTTTGTGTTTGCTTCTGCTAATCCCATTGTTTCCTGGCTATTTTTCTCTAATTGTTAGGACAAAACACCCAACACCCAAAATGGAGGAAGGAAAGATTTGTTTAGCTTACAGTTTCTGGAGGTTTCAGCCGATACTCAGTTGGCTCCAAGAAGGGGTGGCATGACACTGGGGCAACACTTCAAAGGCAGCAGCTAGAAAGAGCAAAAGGAGAGAATAAGCCTCTTCTCCTCCTTTATATTGTATACAGACCACCACCACCACCACCACCCCCAGGGCAGGTATAGCACTCACAAAAATCTCTGTGCTCTCCTCTTGCACAGAAAGAAGATATTTATAAAGTAAGGATCCTGGCTCCCTGCTGAGGCTCTGTTAAACTTCTAAACTTCACAGGTTGACACAATGCATCAACCACAACACACTGCATAGAATATTTGTCTCATATATTATCATCTAGTGTTTTGCCTTCAATTGAACTCACATTTCAACAGCAGACACCCCCTCTTTGATTCCCAAGGTAGTCACTTGTCCACCCATTTATCCATCTCTGTAGTGCAAATACATTGCAGTAGTCACAGACATCACATCAGTACTGACAGAATTTTCTTTTCTTTTTTTTTTTTTATTTTTCTCTTTGCATATGTGACTTTCTATAAAGCAATCTCATTGACAGCAGTGATCATGTCTGGTTTTTTCAATCTCCAGCAACAGTAAAGGCTTAAAAAGGTTTGTCAAACCAAGTATGTGCTGTGCTTTATAGTTTAAAAAGTATTCCTGTTTGAGGTGCTCCTCAGGAAATCTGTAGAGTCAGAATGTGGAATCAAAAACAAAGAATGTGGAATCACAATGAAATGTAAGTGAATTTTGGTTGCTTCTTAAAAGGAAAGATTCCTAACTCTACACTGTAGGCAGGTCACTGACCTTACCCACTGGTAGAACTAGGGGAGATAAGAGGAAAGTGCAGATTTTCTAAGAAATACAAAAAAATATTTCAGAGAGACTTAGCACAATTTAAGTAAAAGAACAAAGAAAAGATTTTGGGGTTAAAAATGCTAAATTCTAACTTCCTATCATGTTCAAGCTCAGTCACGTGAGATAGAGAGAGAAGGAGAAAGAGACAATGCAACTCTTGTCTCTGTTCATCTGCAAAATGAGGACCATAATACCTCCTGAATTACAGTGAAGATAAACTACAGAATGTATATCAAGCTGACAGTAACCCGTCTTTCTCCAACCTTCCCTTTCAGTTTGCAATATACAATAGTATCACACTAGCAGAAAACCAGCAGGAGGGACTTCATGCAATGGGTGCCATGTAAACTGAGACTCTGGCTATTCCAGTGAAGATGGCAATAAGAGGCATTTAAGAACAGATTGAACCTAGAAAAGCAGAGAAAATGTATAAAGTGTGTGGTTCAAGAAGCAGTGATGTTAAAGTGAGTTTATATCTAAAGTGTAAATGTGCCAACGTACCTGCTAACACACATGTGTTTATGTAGGTTTATATGTGTGCATCATGTGTGCTTATGAAATGTGTATACACTTGTGTGGGTAGAGCAGAAATATGGGAAATGAAGCTGGAAGCATGGGGTGAGGTTAGGGAAGCCTCAGCCTAGACATGAGAAGTAGGGGTCATTTAGTAGCATTGTGAAGTGAGTTTTAGAACAAACTGTTAGACAGGGCATACTAGAGTCAGAAATAAGAGCTGGAGAACAGAAAGGCCGCAATGATCCACTATATGGAGAGTTCCCACACAAGCTGAGAAGGGAAGGACAGTCACTGAAAGGAATTCAAACTGAAACCATTTTCAGATGGCAGGTTAATGGGCAGAGCAGGAGTTAACTCCAAGCTGTGAGGCAGAGTCACTGGGGGAATGTGATGCCACCAAGGGGCTTATAGATCAGAGGGATACAGAAAGAACCAAGGGCAAGTAGTCAACCAGGTTTTTTGGTTTGGGGGCAAGAGGAAGGAATCTTTTTAAAATTGTACACTGAAGTTCAAACCCTCATTTAAAAAAGAAAGCTTCACCTCTTGAGTATTCTATGATTAGAACTTTATTCCCAAAGGTCTTCAAGCCTCCTTAGTTCCTTAGAGAACTTTCATTTGAAGACAAATCCCAGGGAAAGGCACCACCTTCTCCTCAGTTAACCAGTGGTCCATGGAGGAGGTGAGGTAATGCTCATTAGTTATTAGACCAGAAAGCTCTCAGAGGAGAACAGGCCCCCACAGAGAAGATTTTGTGTGAAAGCTGTAAAAAAGATGTAAGCAAAATGCTATAGCACTCTGGGGGTGGTGGAGGAGTGAACACTGCCACCAGGGCAATCAGAGACAACCGCATGAGGCCCCAACATTTAATCTGGGGCAGAGGATCACAAGAGGAGGATGGAGGGAGGGGTCAGATGTGATGGAGTTTTCTAAGGACCAACCTGAGACCAACAGGAGCAATTTCCTTACTCTTCAACACATTCCAAAGAGATATTATAATATGTTATGGCTTTAGGCTCAGATTGAGGCAGAGGGGTATGATCTTGTCTGCCCAGAGTAAAGTAGGCATGAGGCCCTTAAGTCTTCTCTGTCTCTTCCCCTCTCCCATCCTGACAGATTATAAACATCAATTTTGTAGCCACATTTTCCCTAGTGGATGAAAGGATCCATGATTCTTTTCTGTCTGTCTGCATAAGAAGAAAGCCGATAGTCACAATGCCAGGCTGCATGAACTTAGCTTTGGGTGAACCTCACTAAATTCTCAGCCGAAAGCCCTATAAATACACAGTACCCCAGGGCTCTGCACTGATGCCACCACCATCTTCCCACACCAATTTCCCCCAAGGGTATTGTTCCTTTCTTTACAAAATGTGTGTGATTGTAGAGTATTGGAACCCAGAGAAACATCTCCAGCTAGAAAGAAAACTGTATGTGGCCTCCAACAGCAGAACATTATGATTAGGGCTCAGCCAATTTTACATTGTCGTCACATAATAGTGCCTTAGGACACACAAATTCTCTTAACAAACAGTACCACAAAAAAGAAACATCGCAACTCTTCCAATAAGAGTAAATAACACCAAAGCCACTTACTCTGTGCTCTCAAATAATTACAGGACTTCATTGAAAGATGATTTATTTTGCAGTTTTATTTTGTACAGAATAGAATCAATTCATCTAACTGAAATTTTACTGAACACTTATTATGAGCCAATACTAATTTTTAACTGTCATTATGTATTCATTTTAGTATTGGGCACAACTCTACAAGAAATAAAAGACATATTAACAATACATAGAATGGCAATTTGAGAAAGCCAGGAAAGACTTAAAATTCTAGAATTCCAACCTCCCCGCTAGAATATTAATACACTGTACAGCACCTTCAAACTACAGCTTCAGTAACCAGGACAAGGAACATGTTCTTTAAACAACAGCCCAAGTTCTTCTGTGAACCTTAGAATTCCCCCACCCAGGTACTCTGAAGTTTTTAATCTACAAAAGGAAACATTCTTTAAAGACCCTGTCTTTCTTCCCCCCGCCATACATGGCAACTAATATTTATTACACATTTTCTAGTCTCCATAGATTTTTTTTTCTTTTCATGTTTCATAATTCCCTATCTTGGCGCTTTCTCACTGTTGGAAATACATATAAAAAATAAGAATAAGCCCAAGGCTATAGTTTCAGAAAATTGGTAGTAATGAACCATGGTTACCAGTCACAGTGAAGCCACCAGGATCTACTGAATATAAGTGGCCTTGAGTTAAATAGATTTGGAAAGTCCAGGGGACTCAAAAGCCTCCTCAAACTTTTTGCATCTTTAATTTTTGTGCACACTTAGCCATTACCTCTGTGTGTCTAGAACTGGACCACCTGGCCACAACGAGATGAGATTAGTGCCCTTTTCAAAGAGTTTGGATTTTGTTGTTTCAATTTTTTTTAAATTTTAACTGTCTGTCATGTTCCACTCCCTGGTATATGAGGTAACATCAGCAAGGCTGATGAATATCACAGGCAACTCAAGCTGTTATAACAAAGTATCTGTTATGGTTTTAATACACTGTGTCAACTCGGGAAGTTCAGAAGTTTAACTAGGAGAGTCAGCCAGGAACCAGTGTTCTTACTTTGTAAACATCCCCATCCTGTGAAAGAGAGCAGGGAGATTTTGTGAGTGCTACCATGACTCTGGAGTGGAGGTGGGTAGCCTGTGTAAAATATAAAGGAAGAAAAGAGTCTTGCTCTTCCCTGCTTTTGTTCTGGCTGCTTTTGCTGGCTGTTTCCTTGAAGTGTTGGCCCGATGCCACGCCATTCTACCTTGCAGCCAACTGATTATGGACTGAAACTTCCCAAACAGTGAGCTAAATTAACCTTTCCTTCCTTCATTTTGCATACTGGGTATTTTGTCCCAGCAAGGAGAGAAAAGTAACCAAGATAGTACCAAAGCCAGGATGACTTACAAGCAACAGAATTTTCTCATAATGCTGCCAGCCAAAAATCCAAGATCAGGGTTCTAGCATGGTTGGGTTCTGATGAAGTTTCTCTTCTGGACTGCATACTACAGAGATGTCCCCATGTGTCCTCATATGATAAGAAGAGAATGCTCTCTGGGGAGCTTTAGAAAGGGCACTAATCCCATTCATAAAGGCTCCATTCAGATGACCTAATTACCACTGAAAGTCCTCATCTACTGATGTCATCACTTTCGAGGTTAGGAATTTCACATATGATTTTGGGGGAGACACATTCAGTCCATAATGATAATAGAATGCATTTGTTTGCTGGACTCACCTGTCATCATTCTGTGACATAAACATTGCTTTGTAATCAAATTTCACACATGCTACCATTCTTTAATTGGTTGATTTCTCACCTCAATATATAACTCATTTTAATTATGTTTTAATCATTTTCTGCTGAAGAGTTTTATGTTCTCTGATTAGTAGCAACAATTCACTAACTGTTGGAGCAAAGGATATCAAGTCACTGTATGAATTACATTTTGTATAAAAATTTTTAAAGACTTTTCAGAATAAATGCTACTAAGATATTGGCAGAATCTAAAACATCAGGTTAATTAGAATTGGCCATATTCTGGAGAAACTAGAGTATGGGCATACAATGGAAAACAATCCATGAGTAAAAATGTGTACCTGGTATATAAGAAGCGTATAACCTGAGAAAGTTATCAGGACATATCTGCTTGTGG